ATAGATATTTGCCAGGTATAGTGGTGCACACTGGTAATCCCAGCAACTCAGGAGGCTGGGGCAGGAGGATCACAAGTTCCAGACCAGCCTCTGTAATTCAGCAAGAATCTGTCTCAAAATAAAATTTAAAAAGGGCTGGGGATGTAGCTCAGTGGTAATCCCCAGTACCAAAAAAATAAAATAATAATAATAATTGATAAATGTTTGAGGCAATGGAGATGCTAATTACCCTGATTTGATCAATACGCATTATATACACTTCCTAAATTCTCACTCTTACCCTGTAAGTATGTATAAATGCTAGTTTAAAAAATTCACACAGCCCACCTGAGGCGCTCCCCTTCCACCTGAGAACCCCATTGAGCCCCTGTTTTGACTTTGGTCAACCTGAGTGGGTTGTACCTGTCCTAAGGATTTCGTCTTTGGATTCACATAGTGCTTCTGTTTGAGGAGGCTGGTCGCTCATACTGAACAAACTGCAGTCGGCTAAACTCCTTCTGTTCTCACTGAACCTCCCAGAGTGGCTGAATAAGGCAGCGCCTTTTCCGATTCCCATTTTACAGATGGGGAAACAGGCACAGAGAGGACCCATGACCTGCCTTGAGGTCACCCAGAGCTATCTGATTCCACAATTCTGGTCCTCATCCTTACACTGGGTCATCCTGCCTCCTTCCGGAAATCTGCAGGACAGGTGGCATTGCCATTAGGGTGCAGAGAGATCAAGAGAGCCTGGAGCTCAGAGCTGCTTCCACACAGCATTTATTTGCTGAGGAGTCAGTTCCTCTGAAGCCGTCATGAGTTTCGCAGAGCTTGGGTCCTACCTGTGGTTTTCCACATGCCCCCTCCTCAGTTCTCTTCCTCCGACTGCTTGGATTCAGAGTGACACAGATCTGGGTTGCTGTCCCAAGTCTGCCAGTTCCTGTGTGACCTTGGACAAGCTACTTAACCTCTGTGAACATCTTTCCTCAACTGGCAAATGAGAGGATGACTGAGATGATTTCTAAAGACCTCTGGTCTCCTCTCTCAACTACCAGACTCCTGCTTCACATCTTTTCTAAAAAACTACTTTAAAAAGAATACTGTGTAAAAGTCAGAGAGACCTGGCATGGAATCCAATTTCCCCCGCAACTAGTTGTGTGAACTTGGGCAAATTCCTTGACCTCTCTGAGTTTCCATTTTCTTGTCTGTAGAATGGGGATCCTGATACTTAACCCGTGGAGCTGAGAGGAGGCTTAAATGAAATCATGATATGCACGAAACACTTAGAGCCTGCAGTCTCCTATGTGCTAAATGAAGTGGGGACTCTTAGGATTATTAGCAATTATTATTCACTGACAGCTTGCTCTGTGCCAGACATTGTGACAAGTGTCCTAAGATGGACTAACTCTTTTAGTCCTCACACTGATGTCTCGAGGTAGATTCACTTAGTGAACGAGGAAACAGAGGCACAGAGAGAATAAATAACTTGCTGATGGTCACACAGGGCTGGGCCATGAACCAGGCTGTCAGGACATAGAGCCTGCCCCCTCACCCACCAGGCTGTCCTGCCTTGGATCCTACCACACTCTGGGAGAATTTCCCCTTCCCTTACCCAAGCCCAGAAAGAATTCCAATGGGGACATTGAAGGGGGCAATAGCAGACTCCAGCGGGGTAAAATCCAGGGGGGAGAAAAAAGGTTCTTACCCTGTGTGAGGTTGACAGCCCTTAACTTGGGCCACCCCAATTGCTTCCCGTCCCCACACCTGACATCTCTACCCACTGCAAAGCTACCGTAGTGAAAGCAGGACCATTCTATGCAGATGCGGATGCAGAGGGGACTCATCAGATGAGGCGGCCCGGCAGGATTTTCAGTGGATGTGCAAACTCACGGGGTAAATGATGGGGGTTCTACCTGAGTGGCTCTGCTGCAGGCTGTGCTTTCCCGTGTCCATCTGTCTGTCTGTATTTATGAAGTGGCAATGATTGGGTGCACATCTGGCTCTGCCACCCGCTGATGAGGTCACCCTGGGCAAATGACTTGCCCTCTGAGCGTCTGTTTCTTTATGCGTATAAAAGGGGGCTCCTGCTGCTGCTGGGATCCACGCGTCTTGCAGAGTGCTGCAGATGGCGCATTGTGGGACAGCCTCTGGTCCAGACAGCTCAGATCCAGGTGGGCTTTTGTGTATTTATGCACGATGTTCATTTCCTGTACACCCTGTGGGAGAGGCTACGCAGGGCTGGGGGACGAGCTCTCTGTGATTCCAGGGAGCGGGGTGTGCCCACGTGAGAGCATCAGGGCGTGCAGATGCACCCACACCCTGCCTGTGTTCGGGACCCTGTTACTCTGGAACCAGCTCCAGACCTTAGCCGCCGAAGCTCACACATGCCTCCGCGTCTTGTCTATACAATGGGTGGCATTCCTACCTCAAAGGCAGCCAAGAGGACAAACCCTCAATGGGAAGTTCCACGCCAATGCCCGTGCCAGTCATGTGGAGTGACCGTGTCAGGCATTCTGAGAGAGTGGGCATCGCTTAGTCTCCTGGGGTCCCGAGCACCAGGGCCTCCCCTGGGTTGCTGAGCTCGCCTTGGTGTACTGGGGACCCAGCCTGCCCCAGTCAGACAAGCCCTAAGTTCACTTTTTCCAGAGGGACATCCAAGGCCCAGAGACAGATGAGGACTTGCCTCAGGACACCAGCACCCTGGGTGCAGGGATGCGGTGGATTGGCAGTCGTGGTTGGAGGGTCAGAGACCGCAGCCCTCACTGCTCTGCCCTTGTGCCTCCCCCAGCACTCGGCGGTCAGTCAGTGGCCGGCCAGGCTGGGGACTCCAAGGCAGTGGTAAGGTGTGGGCTTTGGCAGTGTGTGCTGTCTGGGCCACGGAGGTGGGGACTTGGCGGCTGCCTGGGGCAGGAATTCCATGTGTCTGGGGAAGACCTGGCTTGAGTTGCTGGGTCCCATCCCCCAGCCCTGTGCAGCCAGCTGGGCTAGGCTGGGCCTGCCAACTCCAGACTGGTTTAGCCTGGGGCTTCTCAGAGGTTGCTAGAAGAAGAGGCGGAGGGTGGCAGATACTTTTACCCTCATTTTTTGATACACCACTGTTACAAAAGAAATGTTTGTTATCTATGGAGGATTCAAGCCATCAAAGAGGAGCCGGGCACAGTGGTGCCCACCTATAATCCTAGTGGCTCTAGAGGCTGAGAGAGGAGGATCACGAGTTCAAAGCCAACTTCAGCAACAGCAGGGTGCTAAACAACTCAGTGAGTCCCTGTCTTTAAATAAAATACAAAATAGGGCTGGGGATGTGGCTCAGTGGTTGAGTGACCCTGAGTTCAATCCCGGTACCAAAAAAAAAAAAAAACACCCAAGTAATCAAAGAGGAGAATATAAGCTCTTGCTCATCCAGAATAGCTGAGATTTAACCACACACATGTGTGTGCACACATCTGTACACTCAGGTGTGCACCAGGGCACACACGTGTGACTCACATGTGCGTGTAAGTGTATTTGCACACACGTAATGCCCAAGTGCAGAGCCACACAGGTACACAGAAATACACACACAGAGCTCCACACCGTGTACTTGCCACTGTTCTGACTTCATGGATGTTAATTCATTTAATCTTACAACCATGGATGGGGCAGGCAGCACCACTTCTTCAACATGGTGGATGAGGAGGAACAAGATCGCCAAGGAGCCATTGCTCCAGGACACCCAATCAGTGTGAGGAATAGAGGGGACCTGAACCCAGGCCCGTGTCCTGCTGCACGGTGCTGCGTTTGGGTGGCTTCATGGCAAATATCCTCCTAGGTCTTTTGCCTAATGCATCTCTATCTGGTTTGGCCACACACACACAAAAAAATGGCATTCTTTCAACATCCTGGGTCTGTTGCAGAGCCGCTGACTTGACTTTGGGCTCCTTCCTTCAACTCTTAGTGCTGGTTTCTTCATCTGTCCAGTGAGGGGTGTAGCTCCTGCCTCTGAGGGTTGGCCCAGATTGTGCGTAAAGCTCTCAGCCCTGGGCCTGGCACAGAGTAGGCGCTCATTAGCCAGGGCCGTCTTCAATGCCCACTCTGAGGCTGGAAGTCTTGGTAGGGAGAACGGTCAGAAAATACTGTCCTGAGGTGAGGAGGCCTTAATGCGACAGGTCTGGGAGGCAGAGAGAAGCCCGGAGGCCAGCCTGGGGTCTCTCTAGGAGAAGGGTGTGTCCTCCTGGATTCCTGCCTCCAGCACATCCCCGTTCTGCCCGCAGCTCAGAAGCAGCCCTGACACTCCAGATAGAAGCAGAACAGCGGGATGGGGAGGACTGGAGAGAAGGCCCATGGATCAGCGGGTGGGGCCTCCCTGTCCAGTCTGGCTGGGCTGTAAGGGAGGGGGCTGTGGGGCCTGGGACGTCAGATGCCATCAGCTCCTGGGGGATATTAAAGTCTCCGCACAGCCAGGCAGGCCAGGTGTCTGCAGAGGTCCCCTGCAAACCACCTGTCCTGGGTATGCGCCCCTGGGAGCCACTGCCTGGTCCCCAAGCTTCTCTACTTCTCTGTACTTTCCTTCTCTGTGTTCTCTATGCCATCTCCACCCCCCTCTTAATTCAAAGCTGCAGCACCTCAGGAGCAAGAGGGCCCTGCAGTGTGGTTGGGAGAGGTTGGCGCTGCCTCTGTGGGCATCTGCTGGGCCTTGGAGAGGGCTGGAGAAGAGGATGTCTGGTTGTCTGTCCCCTGGATGGGCAGGACAGGGCCTGGCTTTGGCAAGGTGGCTCGTCCCACCCCTGGGGGCTTGGTCTGTGTTAGCCACTGTCTGGGCATTCCTTCTCCTCACCCAACCCTCTCAGTCCACTGGGGTGGGGAGGAAGCAGCACTGGGCATCTGCACCAGAACTGGGTCAGGCCATCTTTGCCAAGTTCCCAGGGAGCAGCCTCCGGGCTGGCAATGCCCGTGGAGGACCTCAGGGCGTGCTGCTCTCCTGCCTGCCCCTTCTAGGCAGCTGGCTCTGACTGTACCAGGCCAATTTGTGCCCCCAGCCAGCTATGCCCCTGCTGCCCAGCGCTGTGGGCCTGGCAGGCCTGCTCCTCTGGGCAGGCCAGACAGCGGATGCCTCAATGGTGCCCAATGCCACCTTATCCCTGGGCCGACCTGAGGGCATGGCTGTGCAACCCCTGAGTGGCCTTGGGGTGCCCCGGTACCGCCGGAAGCGCCATCTCTCTGCCCGGGACATGAGTGCCTTATTGGATTATCACAACCACATCCGGGCCAGCGTGCACCCACCTGCAGCCAACATGGAGTACATGGTGAGTCCCTGTGCCTGACCCAGCACCCCTTCCAGCAAACACCAGCTTGCTCCTTGTGACTTGGAGTGAGTGCCTTGGAAGGACTAGCCAGTCTGGACCCACTAGCCAGTATCTGGATGTCCTGTACAATGGGCGGGAATTAGTTTGCCCATTTTACAGATAAAGAAACTGAGGCAATTGCCCAGCTCTTCCAGTGAATCTGGGGACAAGAATGCTATGTACAGAGTACCTTTGTGCACTAGGCACTGGGGGTGACCCTCTTCTATCAAGAGGATATCTTGTCTCCACTTTCCAAATTTTAAAATTGAGACTCAGAGAATTAATTTGCCTAAGGTCACCCAGCCAGGATTCTAAGCCAGCTGTGCCTACTGCTAAGGTTTCAGTCTTAACCTACCTCAATAGCCTGCCTAAGAATCATGACTCACACCAGGATCCTATAGGAGGTGGGTGGCCAGAGCTTCCAATGCTATTGTCTCTTGGCCCGAGGGTTTGCCTGATATACCCGGATCACTGTTCCCAGAAAGTCCAAAGAGACAGGGTTTGAAGCGGTGGGGACAGGCACCTGGGGATCTCAGACTGAGGAAAGCCAGTCACTGGTTAGCGGAGGAGACTGGGATATCTTTTTTCCCAAGAGGCAGGGCTGATGTCTCTCACCCCAGTCCTCCAGAAGTCAGACCCCCCGGAGTGGAGGACAATTTGCTCCTTGTCACAACTCCTCCCTACCACCACTGTCCCAAACTGAGCTGGAGATAGAGGACTCCCAGCCCACAGGGATTTCTTCAGGGAAAGAGTTGCCAGTCCACCTCTCAGCCTACAGGTGAGCAGCTTGCCCCTCCATTTCTATACCAGCTCTGCTGGGAGTTGGCCCCATGCTGAGAGCTCAGGAGGGACCAGGCTCCTTCCCTGTGGTGCATTCATTTGAGGAGGGTTAGAGAAAAACAATCAACAAGACACATATATATATGAGTGGGCATCACTTAGCCGCCTGGGGTCACTGATATATATCACCTCCTGGTGAGATACATACATACATATATATATATATATATATATATATATATATATATATATATATATATCAGTTACCAGGAGGTGATTGTTGGAAAGGGGCGGGGATAGAAGCCCGGGAACAGCAGCTCCAGCAAGGAGGGAGGGAGTCCTTATTTGTTCATTGAATCATTCATTTATTAACACAGGGACGGACACATAGAAAGCCCTCCTCTTTTCAAACAAATGACACATTTATTGAGCAGCAGTGTGTGTGTGACACTCACCCCAACTGGTGTTTAATTATTGCATGTGGCGTGGAACAGAGAAGTCCAGATTATCTCCCCAAGGACCTCAGGGAGGGTCAGCGAGTGTGTTCCTTCAACTCACCTCTTTCCTCTGTTTTCCCTACAAGATGGGAAGTGAGACAAGCCCCACAGGAGCTCTTTCCTGCACAGCCCCCAAGAAAGTCTGTCTGGCTCCACATTCTCTTACACACCAGGATCAAAATGACTCATGTGTTGTTTGATGTCTCATTTCCTTGCTACACTGTGAGTCCGCAGTGCCCAGAAATATTGTTCAATATTTGCTGAGTGAATAAATAAGATCCCAGAGAATCCCAAAGACTCAGAGTTGGAAGGGAACTAGCATTTTATTTTATTTACTCATTCATTCTTTTGTTGATTTTTTTTCTTTGTGGTGCTGGGGATGGAACTCAGGGCCACATACGTGTTAGGCTGGTGCTCTACCACTAAGTTATACTCCCAGCCTGGGAGTATAACTTAGTGGTAGAGTGAAACATTTTCTGGCTGTAAAACTTGGGGAATTAATACGTTGGAAAATTATAAAGCTGTTCAGAAGGATGAGGAAAGTATTTGATAGGCACTGATGTGGAATCCTCGCAAAAATAACCAGGCCTGATGGCGCATGCCTGTAATCCCAGCGGCTTGGGAGGCTGAGACAGGAGGATCACGAGTTTAAAACCAGTCTCAGCAGAAAGTGAGGGGCAAAGCAACTCAGTGAGACTCTAGATAAAATACAAAATAGGGCTGGGGATGTGGCTCAGTGTTCAAGTGCCCTAGTTCAATCCTGGTACCAAAAAAAAAAAAAAAAAAAAAATCACAAAGATAACCTATCTTGTCAAGTGAAGAGGGTGAGGTGCCAAAGAGTCTGGCAGGCTGCCATTTGTCAAAAAAAAAAAAAAAAAAGAAAGAAAGAAAAAGAAAAATAATACACACACACACACACAGTGTATGTGTCTATAAATATATGTTCACTTTTTTTTTTTTGGTGGTGCTGGGGATTGAACCCAGGGCCTTGTGCATGCTAGGCAAGCACTCTGCCAACTGAGCTATATCCCCAGCCCTGTTCTCACATATTAAAAAACGCTTTTGAGGTAAACATACTTGTTTCTTTTTTGCATGCATTGAACCTGGGCCTCATGCATGCTAGTCAAATGCTGTACCATCAAGCCACATCCCTAGCCCTGAACTAAAATTTTTATGTTAACATAAATATGTTTAGAAAATAGAATACGTGCCAGACATTGTGGTGCACACCTGTTGTCCCAGTGACTTGGGAGGCTGAGACAAGGGGATCACAAATTTGGGAGCAGCCTCAACAACTTGATGAGACCCTGCTTCAAAAAATAAATATATAACACCCCTGGGTTCAATCCCCAGTGTTGCATTTTAAAGAAAGGAAAGGAGGAAAAAATAGAATAATCATACCTTTAAAATCAGCCATCTTCCCTTCACCCTGGGCTCAGTCCCCTCATGGGACCACCGAATGCCTAGACCAATAACCTCGACCACACTCGGAGTCAAAGGCCTCAAGCATGAGGCCCAGTGAAGGGAAAAGGGCATGGGACTGGGGTGGACCTCCGTGGTGGACTCGGGGTTGACCTTGAGGCTTTCTTTTTCTAATCTGCCCAGTGGGTTTGTCGCAGAGTCCCAGGAGGTGGGGAGCAAGGTACTGGGCTTGTTCCTGGGGTGGGTGAGAAGAGCTCATGGCCTTTCTTCCCCAGGTATGGGATGAGCGACTGGCCAGTTCTGCCAAGGCCTGGGCTACCCAATGCACCTGGGCCCATGGGCCCTCACCGCTGATGCGCTATGTGGGCCAGAACCTCTCCATCCATTCTGGCCGGTGAGTCAATCTCGTCCCTCCCTCCCTCCCTCCCTTGGACACACTGAGCACCGGCCCTGTCCCAGGTGCTGGACTACGTTGACAGGAGGCAGAGCAGTCTCCTGCCCACAGGGAGCCTGCCTTCTAGTTAGGACAGACAATGACAAAGGGGTGAACAAATAATCACTTAGATTGTTTCCGAGAGTTGGGGGATGAGAACCCTGGCAGGGGGCACCCCAGGTCCACAGGTGCCCCCCAAAGTCTGAGAAAGACAGACCCACTCCTCCAGCCTGACTTGCCTCCCCCATTCCGTCTCTTGAATCCGAGTCTGGGGAGTGAGTTCTAATCTGTGCAGCCCAGGGAAGATTATTTCCGTGTCCCAACCTCAGTGTGCTGTCTGCAAACCAAGGTGTTGGCCGGGCTTGGCTCTTTCCTGACTTGCAGATTTCACAGGCCAGTAAAATGTCAAAGACATTTACGAGAGGGCCACACCATTGACATGTTCTTACTTTGCCAAATATGAACGTTAGAAAAACAGTGCTGCCCCACAGCTACTGATTGGCCATGACCCCAGCAGACAGAGAAAGACAGATTTAGGGCTGCCCTTCACTGGAGCCCAGCGGGCTCCCAGGCCCTTTTCCAAGTCATCCACTTGCTGGGCCAACCCCAGGCTTTAGGGGCCAAGAATGCCGTGTAGTCTGTCCCAAGGTCGTGTCCCCTCTCCCTGCCACTAAAATTTCCTGCCTGACCCTACCCTTGCCCATGGTCATCACATGAGGAAACAGAGTCAGGGGTAAAGATGGGCCATTGTGAATTACCACTGCAGGGTTTCTTGGGTTGACTCACCAGGTCTGCCTTCTCCCCATCTCACAGTTCAGAGGCCTCACAGATGATCCAACAAGCCTTTCCTTCCCTAAAAATGCAAGTGCCTCTGTCTGAGATGCCTTTTACATGACCATGACAAGTTCAAGCTCTTTACTGAGCACTTACTATGTGCCAGCTACAGGGAAGGGCTCGACACAGCCTACCCCCTCTGACTTTCAGAACACACCTGTGAGGTAAGTGCTCCTGTCCTCATTCCCATTTTAGAGAGGAGGAAACCAGGAAGAGAAGCAAAGTGACTCACCCAAGGTCACCAAGCAAGTCCTGGGCAGTTGGCGGTACAGTGAATTTTCCATTCTCCCCCGCAGCTTCCTCCATGTTCTTGGCCTCCCCAGGTACCGCTCGGTGGTGGATCTCATGAAGTCTTGGTCAGAGGAGAAGCAGCATTTCTTGTTTCCATCCCCAAAGGACTGTACCCCGCATTGCCCCTGGCACTGCAGTGGCCCTGTCTGCTCCCACTACACCCAGGTACCCCTCCTTCGGGGCTCAGGGCAGACACAGAACAAGCCCTGGTACCTAGAGGGAGAAGGATGGGTGGAACAGAAATGAGAATTCAAGCAGGGACCTTTGGAGATTCTGGAAAGTTCTGTGCATGTTGCATTGAGGTGAACCTTGTTTTATTCTGAGTGTCTTGGGAATTTTCCATTTTCTTTCTTTCTTTTTTTTTTTTTTTTAGTTTTTCGGTGGACACAACATCTTTATTTTATTTTTATGTGGTGCTGAGGATCGAACCCAGCGCCCCGCGCATGCCAGGCGAGAGGAGTTACCGCTTGAGCCACATCCCCAGCCCGAATTTTCCATTTTCTAAGATTCTCACTATATCTCTCCGTCCCCCCCCCTTGGTTCTAGAAATCAAATCAAGGCTCTGTTGTCTGCTAAGCAAGTGCTCAACCACTCAGCTACATCTCCAGCCCTTTTGTTTTTTGAAACGGCCCCATTAAGTTGCCGAGGCTAACCTCAAACTTGTGATCCTCCTGCCTCAGCCTCCTGAGTCTCTGGGATTGCAGTTGTGTGCAATCATGCTCTGCTTTGTGCCTACTATCTTCAAAAAAGGGATATGTCCCCAAATATTCCAAATACTATGGAACATTTTGAGAGATAATATTGAATACTGTGATACTAGGCAGAACGATACAATGCTATATTTGTTGTAATAGAATAGAAGCTTCCTACCATGTGACAGTTGGCTTCTTTCAGCTCCGTCCGTCTCTCTGGGACCCATTTGGAGTTAAATTCAAAACCTAACTTTGAGACCCTCTACAACATGACACCTAACCCAAATGTCCTTTCTAACTTCCTATGACACATTATTACTTCCACTTTACTAATGAAGAAATCAAGGCCCACAGAGATAAAGAGATTTAGTCAAAGTCACACAGCAGGCAATATTGGGATACTAATCCAAGTGTATTTGATTCCAAAGTTTGTCTTGAATCTCTAACAAACACATCAATGATTTTCAAATGTTGGTCACTAGGAGAAAATAAATAAATAAAATGAATAGAACAACGTAGAAAATATTAGCTTATATTGCACACAATAAAATTAAACATTGGTTCAAAACCTTTTGTTTCAATTGTGTGTATGTGTGCATAACAATATGAAATTTATTCCTTATGGTTGGGTGTAGTAAAACAATATTTTGAGAAACATTATATTATAGTCTGAATGCCTCTAGCCCCCCCCACCCTGCCTCTATCTTGGGACATGTGGCCAACTCCCCAAGAAGACCTTACCTAATGCACCCACTGGACTCAATCCCAAGGGCCATGCACCCCAAGGAACCTGGGCCCCACCCAGTCCCTCTCAGCATCCCTTGTCTTTGTGCCTCCTCAGATGGTGTGGGCATCCTCCAGTCGGCTGGGCTGCGCCATCCATACCTGTGCCAGCATCAGTGTCTGGGGCAGCACCTGGCATCAAGCGGTGTACCTGGTCTGCAACTATGCCATTAAGTAAGTGCCCATGCCAAAAGGGGGCTCCAGAACAGGAGGGGTCCTAAGAATTCAATGATGAGAAAGATATACACAGTATCCCTTCCTCTTTTCTACATACCCCATACAAGTTTGGTATTTCAGAGAGGCCACTAATAATCTTTTTTCTTGCTGAGCGCCTTGGCGCATGTCTGTAATCCCAGCGGCTCAGAAGGCTGAGACAGGAGGATCGTGAGTTCAAAGCCAGCCTCAGAAATGGCGAGGTGCTAAGCAACTCAGTGAGACCCTGTCTCTAAATAAAATACAAAATAGAGCTAAGGATGTGGCTCAGTGGTCGAGTGCCCCTGAGTTCGATCATTGGTACCCTGCCCCCCAAAATAGTAATAATCCTTTTTCTTCACCCAAGTTTCAAAATCCCTTGGGAGAGGCAGAGACCCCCTCCTCCCCATGCTCCAGTTACACTCAAGGGCTAATTATGTAGCCACATCTGCACAGTGTTCTTAAACCACAAGGTTTTCTCACATAATTTTAACAGGCACTATTTCGTTGATTTAGTTTATGCAGAGGATAAAATCAAGTTTCAAGAAATGAGGTGGCTCAGCCTGTCACCAAGACCAGAAGCCAGGACCAGAACTCAGATCTGCTTCCTCCAGGGGAAATGGGGGAATAAGGAGATCAGTGCTTGCAGGGACTCTCCTTTGCCAGGCCTGATGCCCTGACCCGTATGTATTGCCTTGTCCCCGATGCCAATCCAGTAATGAGGACATGATTTTAAGAAAAAGGAAAAAGAAGGTTTACTGCTTTGCCAGCAAAGGAGAAGCACAGAAGAGTCCTGCCCCAAAGACAATGATTTTGCCCATCTACGGGAACAGGGGTCTTTTATAGAGGTCATTCAGAGAAAATGAGATTAGGGAGGAGAGATCAGGAAGGAGAAGTTTAGGGAAAAACAGATCAAGGAGGAAAAGGTCAGGGAGAAGAACACTGGGAAAAAGAAAAAGGTGAGTTTCAAAGCCACAAGGGGTGTAGTCAGCACCAAAGTGAGCACCTGTCACACATGCTCACAGCCCTCCATCTGATCCTTGCTGCACCCCCAAGAGGGAAGGGCCTTCTGGTGGCTTTGCAGATGAAGACTTGCCCAGGGTCAGAGAGCCCCAGTGGATGGGCTGAGGTTTTGAAGTCTATGAGCTCCTGTCTCCTAACCCTTCTTCCCTGGGACATTTTCTCTTCCAGGGGCAACTGGATCGGTGAGGCTCCGTACAAGATGGGGAAGCCATGCTCCGCCTGTCCCCCAAGTTACCAAGGCAGCTGCAATAGCAACATGTGCTTCTCTGGGCTCAAATCCAACAGGCTCCTGTGGACCTGAACTCTCCTGGGGCTCTGGGGCACCAGCTGGGCCCCATCCTCCAAGGGTTGCCCCCAAAGACAGTGTAGAGGAACAATTATTTCAAAATGTTTTTGCTAGTGCATTATAATTATACAGTGGCATTCATTGTGACATATTCAGACATGCACACATCACAACTTGATCAATTTCATTCTCTAGTTCCTCCCTCCCCAACCCCCTTGTTCAACTCTACTGGTCTCCATTAAATTTTTAAAATCGGTGCTTTATTTTTATACCTAAACGTGAGATTTGTTGGGATATATTCATACATGCGCAAGGAATCAAAAAAAAAAAAAAGAACATGGCAGGAATTGGGTTCCCCCCAATGAAGAACTGGCTTTTCCCTCCTAGATTCCCTTTGCTCAATGTCCAGCCTATGTCAGAAGAAAGGGACCTTCTTGCCTTCCTCCTCTCTTTAGTCACAGCTTTCTTTTCTCAGGTCTCAGGGGAGACCCTCTTTTAGAACTTGAATCTCAGAGAGCTGGGGCCGCGTGGAACAGAACTACTAGCTCATTTTGACTCTCTGGCTTCCAACCCAAGACTGTCCACCCAACGAAAGGCACTTATTTGACAATCTTTATCTTGAAACCCACCTTCGCTCATCCCTTGCCAGCAGCTTGGGCTGTCTTGAGGGTTTGCTCTTCCCCCCTGTGCCACGTGTGTTTGGGGTCCAAGATTTTGAAAACCAATGAAATTAGTTTATGGACACCCCCTCCCCAGGCCCACAGGGTCCAGCCCCCTTTGTCAGATGGGGAGGTTCAGAGAGGGTGGATACCAAGCTGGAGCTCGGCTTCCCCCCTCCTCAGGTCTCCTGGACTGAGAAGCAGAAGCCACAGCTGGCCCGGAGCTCTCTTTCTGGGCCTGTCCTTTCTCTGTGTCTCTGTCTCAGCCTCATCCCTCTTTGTGGGCTCTGCCCTGTTTTTCCTTTCCAGTCTCCGCCTCTGGAGTCTCTTTTTCTCCCCTACAATCTCATTCTCATTCCAATAAACCATTTCCCTCTCCGCACCCATCCCACCCAGAGATCACAGCACACAAAGGCCCTTTTGTCTCCAAAGATAGTAAAATCTCCTCCCTCAGGCCTTGTCCTCCAGCTGGGCCCAGCCCTGAACAGGCTCAGGGACGGAAAATAGACCCTTTCTGCACAGGCCCTACATTCACCTGGATGGAGCGTGTTTTCTTCCCTCTTGATCATCCCTACCAGGGCTGGACCTGAATACGCCACCCACCCCCTCCCCGACGCTCCCCGTAGTAAAGTCCTTAGAGATCCGAGGCAGTGGACCTTTCTGACCTCTGAGCTTCCAGGAGGATCAAAAGACAAGGGAAGGCGAGTGGGTAGGAGGGGTTGGAGTGGCGAGAGGGGAAGCAGCCTACAGGAAGAGCAGGGGAGGGGCTGACAGCCAGGGACCTACTAGCAAAGGTCAGATCCATGCGCTGGGGTAGGTAGCTATGTCACCCCATTTTGCAGAAGAGAAAAATGGGGCTTAGAGTGAGTCTCAGTTTCCAAATTCTGGAAAGGATTGGAATAAGGGAATCAATGTTGCAGGTTCATTATTCACAGGTAATGTCCTTCTTCTTGGGAGGGGCGGAGTTTAAAATGTTCTTTCTTTTAAAAAACAATGGTGATAGTAAATACTAGATTTAAAAATATATACATGGACCCTCATAAGGGAGAAAAATGGTTTTCCAACTCTATATCAATTTCCCAAAATGTTCTGGAGGTGTAAGTGACAGGGAACCCTCTGGGGTAAGTGGCATAATAGACTCACACAGCGAGTAAGGAGCAGAAGTGGGATTTACATTGAGCCTCATCTGCTTCCAAGGCCTGTGTTGTCCTGGGTCCTGAGTACCCAGATAAGGAGAATGACAATCCCTGGCATTTATGAAGTGCTTGGATGGGAGTCCCCTGGGCTCTTGATCCCATTGCATGATCACAGCCACTTTAAGTGACAGGTAGTGTTCCGATCCCCATTTTACAGATGTAAAAACTGAGTCCCAAGAAGCAACATCTGATTCTATTCCCTATGAGGTAGACAGGCCATGTTTTAAGCCCCCACCCTCCTGCCTCTCAGCTAAGAGACACCTTGGCGTTTGACAAATGTACAGACAATTCAGCAAAAAAAAAAGGCACTGTAGCATTGGAATTCAAGATGATCTCCCGGATTCACCATTTCTGATACACCTTTAGGAAGAGCCTGGGCCAAAGGAGGACTGGAGCTGGGTGCAGTGGTACTGTAACAGAGGTTCACTTGATGCTGTGACTATATTTATTTTTTTTTAGTTTTCAGCAGACACAACATCTCTGTTTGTATGTGGTATGTGGTGCCGAGGATCGAACCCTCGATTCTCGAACCCGGGCCGCACGCATGCTAGGCGAGCACGCTACCGCTTGAGCCACATCCCCAGCCCCTGATCTTCTCTTTTCTGATCTCTCCTCCCTAATCTCACTATCTCTGAATCACCTCTAATAAAAGCCCCCTATTCCTGAGGATGGGCGGAATCATAGCCTTGGGAGAGGAGTACCCAAGCAATAAACCTTCTTTTTTTCTTTTTTTAGAGAGAATTTTAATATTTATTTTTTAGTTTTTTTTTTTTTTTGGCGGACACAACATCTTTGTTTGTATGTGGTGCTGAGGATCGAACCCGAGCCGCACGCCCGCCAGGAGAGCGCGCTACTGCTTGAGCCACATCCCCAGCCCAACCTTCTTTTTTTCTTTTTCTAAAAACCATGTCCTCTTAATTGGATAGGCATCAGGGACAAGGACCAAGCTTTCAGCAACAGTACTCCTTGTAATCTGCCAGCTTCTTGGGAGGCTGAGACAGGAGGATCACAAGTTTGAGGCCAGCCTGGGCAATTTGGTGAGAATGTGTCTCAAAATGAAAAATAAAAAGGACTGGGGGTGTAGCTCGGTGATAGAGTGCCCCTGATTTCCATCCCCAGTGTGGAGAAGAAAAAAAAAAGTTTTTAAATACACAAAGAGGAAATGAGCAAGTTGGCTTCTTTCATGCTGCTGTGCCTTGGACATTGCGGACTCAGATCCACAGAGGGGAAAAGGACTTGCCAGTCTGGCTTATTGCAGGGCTTTCCCAGTGGAGGGGGAAACCTTGGTGTAGAGAAAGATAACATTTGAACCTCTGCAAAATGTTGGAGTGTTTGAAGACCTTCATGGCCACTCTCATCTGATCACTCATTGACACAGTCTATTCTCAAGAGGGTTGACCCTGGAGCCAGAGTGCCTGCATACAAATTGTACTTAGTGGCTGCATGTGGTCTCAGTGATTCAGGCTTATCTGTAAAGGGGGACACTGATAGTTTCTGCCTCATAAAGTCATTCAAAACATTGCACAAATGAATACACAGAAAGCACTTTAAGTGCACCTGGCACATAACTAAATGAAAGTCTCAGCTCTGGCCAGGCATGGTGGTGCACACCTGTAAGCGCAGTGACTCAGGAGGTTGAGGCAGAAGGTTTTAGGCCAGCCTCAGCAACTGAGCAGGTCCAAAGCAACTTAGTGAGACCCTGTCTCAAAATAAGAAATAGAAAGGACTGGGGATGTGGCTCAGTGGTAAAAAGCTCCCTTGAGTTCAATCCCCAGTACCCCCGACCCTCAGCTCTGAGCATAGTGGCCCTTAATATACACGAGGGGTGGGCAAACAACAGCCCATAGCCAAATCAGGCCCATTCTGTAAATGATGTTTTTTGTTGAAGTGTAGCTGTGCTTCTTGGTCCTTGCTGCCCACAGCTCCCTTGTGCTTCAGTGGCTGAGAGGAGGAGTTAACACAGACACTGTGTGGCTCTCAGAATCCAAGACATCTACTACATGGTCCCTTGCAGAAAAGGTTTGCTGATCCCTGAGATCAGTAACAGTCCAGTTCTCCAACAGGGGCTGCCAGGCAGTAAACGGAAGATGAACATAAATGCTTTATTGGAACTGAAATGCTACCCAGGAGAAGAACAGGGAATTATTTTATTTGTTTTTTAATATGATGCATTTATTTATTTACTTATTATTGATTTTATTATTATTTTTTAAATGCACGACAACAGTGGAAGGCATTATAATCCTTATTATACATATAGAGCACCAGAACAGGGAATTGTAAGATAAGAACACAGTCTAAACTAGAATGGATGGTCTGGTGGGTCTTCCTGCAGAGGGATTTATTTTTAAACAGACTGTATTTCTTTTTCTTTTCTTTTTAAAAAATATTTTGAAGTTGTTGATGGACCTTTATTTTATTTATTTGTATTCGGTGCTGAGAATCGAACACAGTGCCTCATGCATGCCAGGCAACGTGCTACCACTAAGCCCCATCCCCAGACCCAAACGTATTTCTTTTAGAACAGTTTTTGTTCACAGCAAAATGGGGAGGAAGTGCAGAGAGTTCCTGTGCACCGCTCATGTTCACCTATGCATAACTTTGCTCCATTATCAACATGAGAGGCGTGATTTTGGATGAAGAGAAGCTTGTCAGGCTCTGGGGAAGAGAGGGCCGTGTGGGTGGAGGGCTGGGGAGAGGGTGCCCAGCAATTCCAGGGATGAAAAGATCTCCTGGGTGTTGGGGGAAGAGAGTGAGATGACTCACCCTCGGGAGGGAGGTGGGGGCCATCCACAATCTTGGAACCTCAGTCAAGGGCAATGGCCCAGCAGGTGGGGATTCTAGCCCTAGAATGACATGATGGAGTTTTCACTGCATAAGAAAGATCTGACCTCATCAATAGAGAACAAATTTGGGGAGGGCCAGAGAAGATGCTGGGAGTGGACAAGAGGCCTTTCACGAACTCAGGTAAGAGGAAGATGGCTTGAGCCAAGCTGAGAAGGAGACCGAGAGCCCAGGTGTTAGGAGTGGGGATCAGGGCTGCAGACACAGGTGCGCCCCTGAGGAAGGAGGTGAGGGAAGTGGACGGACCCAGGTGAACTGTTGCCTTTGCCAGTGAGGCTCTGGGAGGTCTGGTTTAGGCTTCTGTTTTCTCTACGAG